GCCCGTGTACCTAATTTTTAATCTCAAAAGCAAATGATCCTCCTAATATATTGCGATACCATATTTTAATGATTCTATTCTCAACACAATGTTAAGGGCAAGTTATTTATAATATTTTGAGGGATAATTTGTATATACATTGGATTTAGCTTTATTCTTTTACTTAGAGAATAAGGTAACTAATATTTAGATTTATCCATCTACTTCTGAAATCCTGTAATGTAATGGTAATTGTCAAATGGAATGTTTGAAGGAGTTGGTTTGATATATAGATTAGAAGAAGTTAAGATTTAACAATAGTTTAACCTATTAATTAAATTAATACTTAAAAACATATAATTTCAGGTATTTTTATATATTATTATTTTTTAACTATTGAAAGTGTATTACCAATTTAGTCTTAAAAATCAATAATGTCTTGGAAAGGCACTTTAATAGTTTCTTAATGGATTGCTAATTTAATTAACAAAATATTATTTACTTAATTTTGGAAAAGAAATTTAAATGCATTTGTAAAATTGAATCCTAATTTAACAAATTATAACTCACGTTGGTTTAATAGATTTCTTACTGAAGTTGAATCATATTTTTTGAGAGTTACTCTTGCTTTTTCCCTAAAGAAGATGTTAACGTTGGCGCAATTTCATTAGTTGAACTATTCTAATTTAAGATGAAGAGATTATCTTAAATCTTAGATTGATAATATTCTATTGGCTAAATTATTAAAAAGGATAAAATTGGCTTTAGGCTAATTGATTATAAAATGTATCGAAAAGGAATCTTTTATTTATTAGATTAACAAATAAAACTTCTGAAACTATAATATAATCTTAAAAATTAAGATAGGACACTATTGGATCAATTAAATTACAATCCACAATAATTTGTAAACTAAAAAAATGAAATTTACCATCATTGCAATTGATTTAATGAAGATCAAATCGTAATTGCTATTGAAAGGAAGGATTCTGCCTACAATTTCGTTATACCTACTCATCATTTCCCCATATTTAATTATGCAATTCTTTTAAACTTATAGTATGCAGCATAATTGAAATAAATTTACATCTATATTGATAATTATGATTGCCTACTCCAAGATTTCCAAATCATTAATAGCATAATTTTTTTGATTATATGAATTATTTATTTCAGACTTGGAAAATTCTTAGACCCATTTATATAAACTCATAGGTATTTTTATAGTAAAGGTGGATTGTATTTTTCCTCTTACGACTTTAATATATTTTTCGTGTCGGGCTTCCTTTTATGAGACATTCCAATCTTTTAGCATTTGATCACTTTTATCTCTTTTAGCTTAGCAGTTTGTGAATGAGGTACTTATAAACTAATTTCACAATTAATTTAGGATTATTGATTTAGCTTTATAAATTAATTTATTAAACTTACTTAGTTTACAGAGAGTATATCTTAAGTTAAGGGCAGTGTGATCCTGTAAATTAGAATTATTTCTTAATGTTATTAAAATACTTACAATTTGTATCTACTCGTCTTAGAGACTCTGTTTTATTGTAATTACATTGACATTGCTTCTCCAAACAAGCCCTTACTAAAATGTTTTATTGATACTTAACTTCTATAATTTTTGCCATATCTATTTTTTTGATAAATTGCTCAATTTAAAACCTTTTATTATAAATATTTACTTTATTAATCATCTTACTTTTTTATATACTTGATAATTCTCTTGCTATTGCAAATCTATATAGTTCTTCTTCTATATAAATTATCCATTTAATTATCTAAATTATAATTTGCATTGTTTCCAGAATAATAAGAATTGCTTCTATCTTCATGGTGTATGGTTATAAATTATATTCATAGGACAATAGAAAGTTATTTTAAGAACAGTTCGTCTTCTCTTTAACTAATTTCTTGTTAAATCAATCTGATTTAAGACTTTATTACATTGTAAGCCTAATCTTATAAAACACCATTTTCTTATTTCCATAACTAATTAACTAATAATCAATTATTCCATAATTTATTTAATTTATAATTTTGAGATAATAAATTCAATCATGAATTAATTAAATCGATATCAGTAATTTTAATAGCCACTCTTACATCTTTGAGAGGTCTAAAATATTTACCTTAATGACCTACCTAAATCATTATAATTTAAAAAAATTTTTAATTATATTAAATATATCAAGCATAATAAGATTAGTTTTGACAATCTAAAATTAATTTTAGTAAATTTAGTATAAATCATTTAAGTTAAAATTTAATAATCAATATCGCTATTCTGCAATTCCACTAACTCTGCTAATTAATTTTTTTTGTTATTACATTTTCTCAATATAATTCTACTTTAATGATTGATTTAATTACTAATTGTTCAAATCTTAACTTAGAAATAGTTAATCAAATTTTAACTGTTGTTACATTTCGAATATCCCAACCTTTCATAATAAAAAATAGGAATCTATTCCATTTAATTCATTGATAATTATAATAGAAGCAATATTGCTTTTCAATAACAGAATAATTCTACTGATTATTTATAAGCCGTCTCATATTTACTCAATCTTAAGCCAATAACATAGTTAATTATCAATAGTTTAGTTTCTACTTTTCTTTGATGCTTACAAATTAGGGAGTAGCAATCTGATGATCTCAATGATTAGTTTATAATTGCAATAGTTTGTATATTTGGTAAATAATCCTTTTTATGCAAACTTTTATTTTTTCTTAATGTTAGAGCCAAAAATATATTAAGAAATGAATACCCCTTGAAATTAACTATATTTTCCTTAACTTTGGTTTCTTTTAAGTTTAATATTAACCTTTTTTCTTAGTATAAAACTTAATCTCATCAAATTAATTTTTATATTTATATTAATGTTTAAACCAATGATGATAGAAAATGAAGAAGATTTTCATTGTTCCTAAGGACATTAGCTACCAGTTGTTGCATATTGCAGTTGATCCAGAGTTATCAAGAGATTAGAGACTCTTGTGCACAGAATGCTTAAAGAATACAGACATAGATGTCAAAGTGGGAAAATTATTTCGTTAATTGAAGAAAATTAGGCAAAGATTATCGAAAAAGTAGAAAATTTAATAAAAAATTCCATAAAAATAATTGAATCATTACATGGCCTTGTTGATAATTCAACTCATCGATTACTAAATGATGGAATGGATTCGCAATCTTAAATAATTAGGATCATAATATTCTTTTATAGTTTTTATGAGGAATTAGAAATTATGTTCTTAAAGTAAAATATAATTAATGTTAACTAATAAATATAAATAGAAGAAATTTAGAAAACCAATCACTGTTGGTCTTCCAAATTGAATCTCAAATTAGAATATTTTAATTAATTAGGAGAGTATAATAAATGTAGAGAACTATTGTCAAATTTAGAATTAGGTTCCTAGGCATTTGCTCAAAGTGAATAGTAACATTAAACAAAAATAGAGTGTTAGTTAATAATAAATCAATAAAAGCTTTATAAGAAGGTGAAATAAAATTAAAATTAATTGATTAATTTGTTAAATAAAGTCAGAGATTTAATGCAATAGTTTTTGATTCTTCTGGATCAATCATGATATCTAGAAAAAATAAAGATATTAAAGTATGGAGGTTTCTAAATGGAAAAATTGAATTAATAAAAACATTGTAAGGACATACTGATTTTATTTTTGCTTAGTCTATAGAAGAATTAGAATTCCTTTATTGCAGGTTCATGTGATTAGACAATAAGATGTTGGAAATAATTGGACTCATCTGATTGGATCACTTCATAACCTTATTAATAACACTCAGATTGTATAAATTGTATTTAATTAAATTCAAATGAAGATTTACTATTTTCTGGGAGTAATGATAAATTAATTAATGTATGGAAGGTTGATTTTATTAAAATATATTAACATACATGTATTCATTAGATAAGCACGATAATTAGGTTGCTGCATTAAGTTTAAATTAATCATAAACATAATTAGTATCATGTGCTAAAGAGAATAATTAGATTATAATTTGAGAAAGGAGAGAATAAGATAAGTTTTAATTCAAATATTTTGTTATAGTCGATTAAATTTTTCATTTAAAAGGAATTTTGTGTAAGAAGATATATAATTGATTTATTAAATTAATTAATCAAATTAAGACTGTGGGTTTAAGGTTAAGTTTATTAAAGAGGATTAATTTATTGGGGTAACCGAGGGAAAAGAAATAGATAAACTATGTATATTTGAAAAAAAAGAAAGAGTCTTTTAAGAAAATTAGGAGAAGACAATTTAATTAATTGCAAATAATTAAATATATGATGAATTGTATTTTCCAATAGTTTACAATAAGGAGAGGAATTTGATAGTAGTAAGACATAAAACTTATATTTACATCATTAGAAAAATGAATGATGGGAAATTCACAATAGTTGATTAATTGAATTGCAA